CACGACTAACTAGAGAGAGAAAAAAAGAAGACGTGTATATATATGTGTCGATCACAAACAGCGAATACAATATATCACACGAATAAAGAGAAGAAAGGGAGATATCAAAGAAACAAAGAAAAAGAAGATATCGAATAAAAGATATCTGATCGAGGGGTGAGAAATGAATATGGTGTTGACTGTAACAGTCGACCCATGCAGAAAAAAGATGTGTGTCCGCACACATATCTGACAGAATACAAGGAGAAAAAGTTTAACAGTAACAATACAAAAAAATGGAAAAAAAATGAACGGAAGAAAGAAAAAATGTATATATGTGTATATATATAAAACTATATATGAAGAGAAGGAGAAAAAGTTGAAGACGGGTATATATGTGTCGATCACAAAGAGCGAATACAATATATCACACGAATAACGAGAAGAAAGGGATATATCAAAGAAACAAAGAAAAAGAAGATATCGAAGAAAAGATATCTGATCGAGGGGTGAGAAATGAATATGATGTTGACTGTAACACAGTAACTTTAAATTCCATAGCAACATGTACAATAAATACATTGTCATTATATATTTTTGATTTATCAGTTGACGAAAAATATCGCATTAAATAAACTTCATATAAATCAACGGTTGTTATTGGTAACGTATCTTTGAACGGTGCAACAAATATTTGTTGAACATCGTTAATGTTTTGGCAGAATTAAAATTTAATATAATATGGTTATCTGAACATGTTCTATGGCCAGCGACAATACAAAGTCGCATGTTTACCATTCCGGATGTCGGAAACGGCGTCTTAAACAGCCTGCAAAGACTATAAAACAGCATTTTACTGCCTTATCTTTCGTCGTATTTCACCGTAATCCGTCAACCCAGAATACGTGCCGTTTTTTCACTAGAAACCGGCTGTCGTTTTGCGCCTTATTTCCATACATTTCTGGATCACCGGATTACGACGACGTTTTGAAACCGTTTTTCGCCGTATTTTACCGTTTTTTTTACCGTTTAATACTGTTCATGGCACCGTTGTCTTTGCCTTGGGCTGTTCAATATTGTCCATTTTGAAGCAAGACTATAACCTCTTCAGTGATGCTTATTTGTTTTAATGTTGCAGATGATAATTCAACGAAATGATCGTATTCCACATTAAGACGATCTATAATCAGTTGATGAAAACTTTTTACTTGATCTGCAGTAGTTGTTGTATGTTTTTCTTCTTTTTGAGTTGAATCAGCTCGTTCATTCATTTTATAACTGATCCCAGGTCGATCATTCCGAACATCGTTTCTGGCGCCGTTTAAGGCAGGGAACGGCTAGAAAACGGCTGAATTCGTGAGGGTGTGGATGTGAGCTAAGAGAACAGACACCAACACATATCCACACCCTCACCCATTACCTTTGTGTACTGGTCGATTATAAGTTGCAGCAAAATATGGCGTTAAATAAACTTCCAATAGATTGATATTTATTCTTTGTGTAGTATCCTTAAAAGGTAAAACACATGTTTTTTGACCATCATCAATGTCTTCGCACAGTTGCATATTAATGACATCATTAAAATGAACATTTAGGTTGCATTCTGTGGTACGATTGATTCTAACATAACCATGTGGACATTTTTCATCCTGAACTATGATAGCAATTGCACGACAATCATCACGTTGAATGAAGACCATATCTCCCTCAGTTATATTTGTTTGGTTTAATGTTGTATATGATAATGTAACGAAATCATCGTATTCCACATCCAGGTCGAACAATCCAGCACGGAAACGGCTGATCCTGTGGTATTACGGAGGATGTGGGTGTGTAGGTGTGAGCTAAGAGAACAGACACCAACCCACACCCACACCTACCCTCAACATTTATTCGTATATGATCAAAGTTACATTTATCATTTATAACGACAATAGCAAGTATTTTTAATTGTCCATATTGAGTCAAGACCACATCCTCCAAATCTATGTCTATTTGACTTAATTTGTTATGTGATAATTCAACGTAATCATTGTATTCAACGATAAGATTATCCACAACGAATTGATGAAAATTTTGTAATTGATTATCAGTAGTCATTTTCTTGTTATTGTTAATTGCGTTTATAAATGCGTAAGTATGTTGAGAAGAAATCTAGAAATATACTTTCATATAGTGACACGGGAAAAAAAGAAAACGGTTAAATATATAGTATAAACAAAGAAAGAAATATTATCCTAAATATTTTTACAAAATAACATTTTCGTGACTATTAGTCGGTGTTAATGAAACAGTTGATGATTGAGAATGTTGTTTCGATAATGAAGGATTCATTGACCGAATTGGTGATTGTGTTGGAGTTACTGAACCAGCATTTGGATGAAGTGAAGATGGAGATACTGCTTGACCAGGTAAATTTTTTGTTGAACGTGATCCAGGACCAGATGATGGTGAAGATTGACGATTTCTCTTAATATCTGTTGTTTCATTGTATAGATATGATGTTATCTTTCTTGATAATACATACTTTTCTCAAAGTTTTTTTTCTATAATGAAAAAATGTTAGTTGAATATTGACGAGATTATACGACGTATTAAATGGCTTCATAATGTTTTCATATAAACAGGAAACGTCAGATTCACAATACATATGCATGTGTGCGTAGTGTACCTAGATCACATTCAGATCTATACATTTCTATTATTATAACATGTAATGAAATTTCCTTCCAAATAAAAGACTTGATATCCTTAAAGAACTGTCTTTTTGAGAAAATTTCAGATCTGATTTTAAACTGGAAAAATCTCAAATGTGAGAAATACTAAACGCATGATATTCATTTGACTCTGTTATTACAAAAATATATCCTTTCTTCTTCTCAATGTGTCATCCTTGAATTTGACAATGACGCAAAACGTCCAAACAGACTGAATTAACAAATAAATCGTCTAAGAAAGATGATTTAACTTGAAATAGACCAATCACATTGCTAATTATTTCGTTTTTGCTAGAGCCGACGCACGTCCAAGCCGACGGTTTACACCCATAGATGCAAACAATGAACAAATATGTATGTATATAAAGCTTTATCTTAGTCAAAAACATCATAGTCATAATAAAATATGAACCGATCAACTGTTCATCTTCTGGATTTACCTGATGAAATATTACTTATTATTTTAAAAAAATTGAACAATATTGATTTACTTTGTTCTTTATTGGATAGTAATAATGGACGACTTAACATTCTTGCACAAGAATACATTTTCAGAAACATTCTGAAGTTTGTCTCTATTGATAATTTACCAAGAATTCATCATAATGTGAAATGTTTTACTTACGAACCAAATTTTATGGAACGTATTCTTCTTGCCACTGACTATTCGAATTTAACTGAACTTGCAATTTTTCATTTTCGAAAAGACATCGCTTTAAATTATTTTACAAGTAAGCATTTAATATGAATTTGATTAGTTGAAAAATAATAATGGTGTTAAAAAAGAAAAGAGTATAGTATGCTTCACTGCATTGCTTTTCTTCTTTAGATGAATCATCACTTCGATCTATTTTCCAAGAACAATTTACAAATCTTATTCTTATCAAGAATGATAAAAACAAAGATGTAGCGAAAATATATGGTAAAAATGTATATGTTCACATCTTAACCTTTTTCAAAAATTTAAAAAAACTAAGTATCATAGAACCATCTGTTGTGTTTTATCCATATATATCACTTTATTATCCACCTTTATCACTTTTTAATTTGCCATCGACTACTTTTTCATCTCCAATTCTTACTCATTTATATATGAATGTTGAAAAATTTGCTGATTGTCTTTATTTACTTGATGGTCGACTTAGAAAATTGACAACATTGTGTGTTATTGTTCATCATATGGACACATTTTCAGAAACTGTTCACAATATGGTAAGTTTTTATAAATAATTTCATTTATGTCATGAAGATTATTGCTATTCAACGTAGTTAACGATTGATCTAAAAATATTCAGATAAGAGATCAAATGGTCAAGTTTCAGTTTGATAAGGAGAAAAAAGTATTAGGTGTTGAGGAATATATCAAAATCATCGACATTCAGTCTGTACGCACTAGAAATTTGAATTTAATAAAAGAATCAGCATAGAATGAAATGAAAGTTTTTCTATAATAATAATTTTTTCAATAATTGAGATATGGTTCGAAGTTAGTCTGAAACTTTAATTGTTATTTTAAAACTCGTTTGTTGTGCTATAAAATGAGAAAATCAGATTAATAGATTTGTTATTTGCGACTATTCACATATAGAATATAGATCATGTGCCATGTGTAAAATAATGATGTCTATGATACAATCTTGTAGATTATTAAAAAAATATTTCTTTTTTTTTGTAGGATAAACTATTGAATCTAAAATGTTTCTCATTAAAATCGTTCTATCCATTTCAACAGTATGATAAAATTATATTACTTCTTCGTCGTATGTCAAATTTGGAAAAATTAACTCTAAATCTTTCTATACAAGATCGAAATAGAGTCATTGGTGGTACTCATGTTCAACATGATATTTTGAATTATATGTCACAACTTTGTTCATTCACTTTCTATATTTGTACTTATGTCGATCTGGTTGCTGTACCCTACAAGTTATCTAGTGAAGATATTCAACTAACATTAGCGAATATTGGACAACAACATATCAGTAGTATGGTCAATTATGTTACTGGTATTGTCAATTATGCTTTTGAAGTTAGAGCTGCATGCTCAATTTTCTCACTTCCTTTTGAATTTGATTATCTTCGAGATATTGGCAATAACTTTCCAAATATTGTATTCAGTTATGTTACGTATTTGCTTATAGAAGATATTACTCCATTCGAACATGAATTCTTCATGCGAATTGCCCGATCCTTTCCATTATTAAAGCATTTATGTATTTGGAATAAAAAATCACAAGAATTGGATGGTCTTATAACATTTTCACCTGACAATTGTCGATTACACTCAATTATTGAATATCCCCATCTGACTATACTTGATGTCAAATGGGCACATAAAGATTATATTGAACAATTTCTAAATGGAACAAAGACATTCGTACCTTGTCTAACGCAATTTGAAGTCTCATATATTGATGATTTAAAAGCTGTAACAAAAAACTTTACAAGAGAAGAAACACGACGCAATTGTGCTAAGGTGGAAAAAATAACTGCGATACAGGGTGTGATACATTCAAAAGATTTATGTCTCTATTTTCCATCGTTGTATAAGTAAATGTATTTTCGTTTTGTTTTATTCAATAAACTAAAAAATTATTTGTGTTTATATTATGAAAATGAGTAAAGATTGTCATAAGATAAATATCTCATTAAATAATAAATATTAGTATGAATGATATTTTTTTGATCATATATAACTCAAAAATATATTTACTATTATCGAACGAGGAATGTTTTATAATATGCAACATCTCTTACCTGATGATGTCACTAGTTTACAAATAGAACAATTTACATTAATTCTGATTGGTTTATTATTGCACTGTCTAGTCATTATCGTCATTATTTCTCGAATAGAGAAATCACATCATTACTTTCCTTATTCATACTTATACTGGAAAGATGGATACTAATAACGATAGTCCATATGATGTTCTTTTCGAACGTTCATTAGCAATTATTGTTCGTGAATATGGTTTTGATAATATTGAACTTTCTGCCTATCATCAATTTCTTGACATATCAAATAACATTCTTCGTCGTTTATTACTCAATGTTAAAAATCTTATGGAAGTTCAATCACGTACTGAACCATGTCCATCCGATGTAGTACGTTCATTACAAATAATGAATGTTAAATTATCTTCATTACAACAAACATTTAATCATCCGATAAAACATCGTCTTCGTTCACCTGATCGTCAAACAGAAACAAATCCAATGAAATTATTTCGTGTAACACATACAACAAATAATAATTCTTCACGTAAACATCGTCCAATCTATATACCAGATTTTTTACCTGAATTTCCTGATCCTCATACATTTATTTCAAGTGAAACATATGCTGATTTACGTAAAGATTATCCACGTGTTCGACAATTATTAGCTGATCAACGTCGAGCATTACAACGTTCATTAGTTAAATTTAAATTACAAACAAATGATAAAATATCTGTTATTAATAATCATGGAACTAATATTAATGATTATTATCTTATTAAAAATACACTATCACCATTACCATATCTTTCAGCTCTATTACCTCAAGATCAAATGGATTCTGAAAGTACAGAATCAATGGAAGATGAAACAGTAGCGAACGTATCAAATAGAACCCAGTCTTTGTCAGCTACAGATGATGGTGAGATGTAATTAGGTAAGAAATGAAATAAAATATTCATTGATGTAACTATAATATATACATATACACTTTCTTTTCTTTTTTTTTTAAAACAACATTAATGTGACGTATTTTTTTTGTTGTTGTAGATTATATGAAATATGATGATTAATATTTTGAATTTATTTAATAAGAAAGAAGGAAATAAACATATCCTGTTGGAATATTTTCAATAAAGAAATATAAACCTTTAAATTAATAATCAACGTTACAGATGAACAAATATTATGCGTAAAATGCTATCAGATATATATCTTACGTCAAGACTATTTCTATTTATATATAATCTATGATGAAATTTCACAATTTTCTTTTAGATTAATAATTGATGAATAGGTTTTTTTTCAGTTCGATTACGCATAAAATTTTTCTTGGTTATCGAATTGAATTAGTTTTAAATATATTTATATTTTAGATCAAATTTCTTTTTTGTTATTCATGTCACACTCGTCATCATCTGCATCGCTTTCGCCTCGTATGAACGATCATCTTCCACATCCAATTATTCCAAGACGAGAACGAACACTTTCACAGTAAGATTTCTTCTTTCTAAATTTAGTTTGTTATTATAAAGATTCTGTTCATGAGATATAGTCAATAATAAGTGTAATCTAAGAAAATCTTTTTAGTTATTAGAATCTCTAATGTATTCTGTACACATCAATTTCACGATCTTATTCATGCGTGATCGTCAAGGTTTCTTCGGTGTCATAATTTTAAAAATCAATCACACACTACACGAGTTACATCCAACACACTCGAATCAGAAATGATAAAAAAGTGTAACTTGTTTTTTTTATGAAAAGAACTTTACTGAAATTATAAGGATTTAATTGAGATTCATTTTTTGATCTTATAAGACTTCAGTTTAGCTGCCATTTTCTCGATTAAAATATATACGATTGGATATTATTATATTCTAATTATTACAGGCAATTTGACCAATTTATTATTTAGATGTGAACGTGCATTACAAAGTCCATCTTATGAAGGTATAATAGACGAATTTTGTCGAGAAAAAGGTCATGGTTATATTCGACCAAAAGATAATCCAAGTCAATTAATTTTTGTACATGTTTCTGAGTAAGAATTATTTATTTCTCAAAAAACAAATTGATTCTATTTTATTTTTGTATATTTATTCAGTATTGATGATGACTATGTACCAAAAAAAGGTGATTTAGTTTCATTTAAAAAAATGTTAATGCCACCCAAGAATGAAAAAATTATGGCTGTACATATCAAACTTCTTCATTTAGCTGAAGGTGTTAAACATGAATCATGGGAGGAAGCTGTT